TTGCTACAGAGTATCAAACCACATGTTGTCAATCATGGAAGATCCACTAAAATATGTAATTTAATCCATTTATATTCTATTTTTTCACAATTACCTCAGAATAAAGTCGGTCACACCAGTGACTTCAGCTAAAAGCTTCATATGAAATCATGAGCTAAATGAGAAAATCTCTGATAACTGAAAGACTCAGTGGACTCACCATGTGCTTTTCTTCATAGATCCTCAGAAAACAGGTAAAAGGAAGTGAAGTGATGTCATCAGTGTGACTTTTATTTCAAAATAAGAGATTTTTTGTTACCTGGTAACACCAGTGACACGACTCCTGGGGACCACAACTTTCATTTTATATTTTATAATATTTATTTGCCATTTGTTTTCTTTGTCATTTAATGTATATATTCCATAGCCATGTATAGATTATTGTAGTTAAAATTGCAGAAACATTTGTTTTTTCTTCAAAATTTGTCCTCAGCCTTCACACATGACTGTGAGGACGAGCACTTCTGTGGTGCTTGGAATTCTGTATAACTGATTTTAGTAACCAAAATTGCTGAATTGAGGCTCAAGAAGGTGTAAGTGTTAAAATAACATTGTTTTATTTTAAAATATAAATAAATTGTAACACTAACATGTTTTTCAAGTGTAATATATCTGTAAGCACTAAGGACACAGAAATGGACGCTTCTGTAGAATGACCCTCTAACTCAAAATTCAACTATCTCCATAGAAAAAATGCCAGATGTTTTTACATTTTAATGTAAGTTAACTGAACAAAACTTTAAATTAAAGCAATGTTGGACCATTTCTGTTAATCTGTTCTTCATGACATTTTACACAACGTAAAGGCCAAATTATGTAAAATAAATAACAGATTTAAATAATATACAACAAAAATCATCGTACAAGCTTTTGTCCTGACAGCGACAGTAAAACACTGTAGGGGTGAACTGTAGTTTAACAGGCTCAGGAACAAAGTGCTTTTAGTCCTCTTCTATCAGAGTGATATTTCTGCACATTCACCCTGAAGACCATAAAAGTCACTTTTTTCATTATTAGTGTTTTAAATACTGAGTTGCGTGTTTAAGTCACAGCACACCCTCCTGTATTATTGATCTCTCTCTTGGTGGCTGTAATACAGCACCATATAATAAAGCACAGTGAGAGCTAGGCAGGCTAAAGTACAGCCACCACACAGGGGGGTTAGTTTAACACACTCTTACAACGAACACCCCCAAAGTACACAGTGGGAGCAGTCTATATCCCCCCTTATATATTCAACACAGTTAATTTTTTTTGGAAGTTCTTTGATGCACAGATTCATGAAAAAAAACAAC